TATTTTGCCAAACTGTGCCAACATGGATTACGCCTGAACTTTGTTCAATCAAAACCTGTACAGAATATTAGTTTCTTGTAGTATGGACACCAAACTTGCTACAGATGTCCTTGACATGTAGTGGTTGCAATTGATTGTGTTTATTTGCTTCGTTATAAGTAAAATAAGGAGATATTGGAGGAAACGTGTGTTTTTTTTTTAGACGGAGTTAATTTTTTGGCCATTCCAACATCAATTACTCTTACCCAGTGTTCTTGACTGTCAAATTAACTCATCCACACCACTCCCCAAGAACCTATCTTCATTTTGATACCAAGATTTGCAGTTTAGGCCTTGTAAAAGCTGAGAAATGCCTTAAAAAGTAAAAGTATAGGATTTTCGGAAAATAGGCCTCAGGGCTTAAGAGGTTAAGGTCAAAATCAGCCATATGAATTTAAAAACCTGTTTGTGCTGACTTAATATATTCAAACAAAAATCTAAATCTCCCCAACAATTGATAAAAAAACTAAAACCTTATAATTAAGTCACATTATAAAGTTGCATATTATTATATTGTTACTATAAAAGTTCAATCAAAATTGTAATAGTTAACAGTTAAAACTATTATCCATCAATGTGTCAATAGTTTTTGGTTAAAAAAAATCCTGTAATAGTATTGTTTGGACCAATTGCTGAAGACGAAAAAATATGATAAAAGGCTCTTGAAGGGGTTACACATTTACCATTGACCTATAATGCCACTGAAAGTAAATTAGAAAAGGCAACGGAAATAGTGTCAAGGTCACATAGAAATGTCAGTTTGATTTACATTATAAACTTAATAAATGTATGAGAATACTGATGGCTCCCTAGCAACCAAAGTGTTTACTCTAGCAACCAAAGCTTTTGAGCTTTATCACAGCTTTGGTGCATGATAGGAACATGTGGTTTGGTTCATGGTGATATTGGGTACATTGTATTATGATGACCCTTCCATATCTACCAGGCTGTTTATCATCGCAACGATTTGGCATCTCTGTAGCTCAGCTTAGGGATAGTCAGACTCTATCTGACTAATCGGGACATAAACAATGGTTATTTTTAGCAGTTTTTGTTCTTAAAGCAAATAACTGGTAAATTCCAACATTTTGCGTCATGTACAAAAATACACAAAGCCAAAAAAACCACCCCTCTTTAGTCATAAATAATTCAGCTGCAGGGAATAAAAGTTTGTGGCTTGACAAGTTCTCCAAAAGCAAGCAGCATAATAAAAAAGGAAGAAAACATTTGAAGTCAAACTTATTCCTTCTGCTTCAAAAGTCAGTGTCTGTTCAATGCTGTCAGGCACTTTTAGAGGGAACTACAGGAATGAAAAATGAATATTTGAAAATGTATTTGACAGTTAATTCTTAAAACATCCTTAACTGCGATTTTTCCCTCAAAACACACTTATACGCTTAACCTTAATTTGCTGTTCTGTTTTCACTGTAGAATCTTTAAGGAGTTCCTGGCCTTTTACATTTGTGTTCAACAGGGGGCACTGCAAACTGTCTGCACACTTTTTTGCTTTCGACACGTTTGGATGAATTTCACATAATTCTCTGATTATTCTTTTTCTTTTTGTCTTTCACACATTCTGTCTCATTCATTGTTTTCTATAGTATCTCCATCATAATGCATTGAGCCTCTAAGCACAACTCTTTCTCAACAAAAGCTCTATTCGCTCTCTATTTCATTCAGTCATGCAAGCAGTTCAACTGTGAGCTGGTTTCATTTGAACAGTTATGGTTTATTTTCTTTCCTGTTGAAAGGGCTATTCATCCTTTTCACTAGAGGGAAAAAAAAACAATAGTTGGTAGGGTTCTATATGTATATAGTTTAAACACCCTTGCCAATTTTTCTAATGTCTTTGACTTTTTTCTGAAAATATGAATAACCATTTTTGGCTCCTCCACTCATATGGTTCCTATGGTTTCACCAGCTTTGCACCAGGCCCACTCCTCCATACAGATCTTCTTCTAGATCTGTCACCTATTGCTGCTGAGTTTCAGCTACATCCAAATATTGCGATTGGATTTAGACTGGCTCGATCATTGGCCTCAACTCAGGCCCTTTCCCCTTGACTCCTCTGGATCATACAGACGGTTCCTTACAAACTTCAGACATGCCTGGACAAGGGCTGATTTAAGCAGCCGAACCTTCCATGCAATGCATGATTTTAAACCATGACGTCTAGTGTATTACTGATAGTAGTCTTGTAAATGGTTGTCCCAGCTCTCTTCACAGAATTGACCAGCTCTTGTGTACTTCTTCACCCTTCTTATCAAAGATATTCAAAATGTTCAATTTTCAGATTAACAAAAGAGATTGGTTATATTTTTTGTAATTGATTTTTTTTTTTATTTAAAAGAATAAACTCCATTAGATGCATTACTTCAGGGTAATCCAAGTCACTTTACTGAGAGAGAAACTGTTGAGCTCACCAATTCGTCAGTTCATTGTGGAGGAAAGAGGAAAGAACACCCCACATTGAGTGGCATTGTCAAATCACAGCGAACGGAAAGTGGAACAAATAGAACAAATGCAAAAGACCAGAGTTTTAAGAATGTCTACAGTTTTGTCTCTTGTGTGTTTGGACAGCTACATGATGTTACTACTTTTCAACTGATGCACAGCTGTCTTGATGGCTAACAACTTCAAAAAGTAGCTAATGAATTAGATGTGCTGAGCGTAGCTGTGTTAGTTAAATGTTAAAACTCTGAGGTTCAGAAATCAGCTGATTACCAAGTCACCAAATACTTTTTTTTCGTGATTTACAAATAGGTTGTTAAAAAATTGATTCTGTCTCACTGTGGAAATGCACCTATGCTGAAAATCTCCATGATTTTAAGGCAGCAGAATCACTGAGTGATCAAATACTTATTGATGTTGCTGTATACGCATTTGTTTTATTTGTTTATTTGTTTGTAGATAAACAGTATCCTGCCAGCAATTACTTCTCCAAAGTAAATTATTCTCTCCCTCTCTTCCTCTCTGGGTGAGAGTATGGTCACAGGTGGAAGAGTGTGGGCTTGATCAGATGGGGAAAAGAGAAGCATATGAAGTGTAGAGGGTGTAAACGAATGTGTGTGCGTATGTGTTGAGCTGACTCTGGCAGTCTCCCAACTGGTCTGAATGCGTATAAATGTTGCTCATTCAGAAGGCCTCAGGTGTCACTTCAACTAATACAGCATCCTGTCCACATTTTGCACTCTTTTCTATGTATCCAGAGCCCCGTACCTGATTTTGCTGCCATGTTGCTCCCTAGTGTGTTGCCTCGTAAAAGGTTATATCTGCATCATAAATGTGTCCTCGTCATAAAAGTTTGCACAGGGTGCAAAAGATGCCAAAGAAGATTTTTGTTTCCTTGCTGAAACCTGGTTTATTTCAGTCAGGTTGCCACCCATACATCAAATACCTGCCATCAGCAATAACATCAGACCACAGGATTATAGTCTCTTGTTCAGAGTCTTTAAAATTGTAGAAAACTCATGGTGATTTTTTTTTTTTTTTGTGTGTAGTGGTTTATAGCACTAAAACAAGAAGCTCAGTTTAAAAACGATTGATGCTTGTACTGCATTTTGGTGCGCATTGTGATGATGCGTACAGTGACTTTTCTTTCTATCCAGGCAGTGAGTTCAACAACTGACCAGTTATTGTTCATGCTTTTCTTTCCAATCAGAGAAAATTTCCTTAATTTAAGAAAAAAAAAAACTTTGCTTTAGAGCCTCATTGGTATGAAAAAGTACAACAAAGTAAAAAAAAAAAAAAAAAGTCCCTAATAGCCTGTCAAGCCATGCCATTACAAACAGGTTTGTGGAAAAGCTGCATACGTTGAAGCAAGGCTCTGACTCTTATTAATAATACACAGTCTTCTTTCAGAGAGTAAGTGTGTTTCCCAAGTGTCATGAACAAATAATGTTCCACTCTACTACTGTACTCTGCAATGTTTGAGAGGGAGGTGATATAAATGCTATAAACTAGGAATGCCCTCAGAAATGGAAGTGGTTAATTATTTTCACCAATGAGCCAATTGCAAGAATGAACAAAAGAGAACTTTAAATCAAACCAACACCTCTGTGAAAAACTTTTCGCCCTCAAAACAGAAGCATTTTTTTTTTCTTACTGATGCCTGCACACAGTTTTTGAAGGAACTTTAGTAACCACAGATCGTCATTAGATGCCACTTTTTTTTTCTTCACATCCTGCTGTCACATCTTGTAATCCACTCGACAATGTCAAGATCAGGGTTCTGTCTGGCGGGTGGGGGGTTTGGGTCTGTATAAAAAAAGACTATAATTCCGCACTATAGGGAACACCATTTTCATAAAAGCATTGCTGGAAAAAATACATTTTCAAATGTGAATATGCTAATTATTTAACACAAATAATTAAACCAATTACGTAGCCAAGGACAGTAGTGGAAAATGCTGGTGTGAAAAAAATCCTCTAAACAATATATTCTGAAATATAATTAAGGATTGGTTATTTTTGTAAAGGTACAAAATCCAAAGAGAGTGAACAAAGCTCAGGACTAAAGCTTACATTTTACAAGCACTAAGCAATACAGACAGGGTTGTAATTACATCCAACAGTGATATCCATTTCAACAGTCTTGTATGGCACCCTTATGGCTCAGTACATCACGGTGAGTTCAAGCCTGCGTCTCGTGTTTTGCTTACGTTGACTATGAAAAGTCTCACATGCGTGAATGTTGCTGAACATCTGCAAACTAATGGAATATTGCAAACAAAGACTTGGTTTGGTGACGAACAAAGCCTCTAATATGGCTGTTGCAGCTCAGCTTGGCAAATTTTCACATTTGAGATGCTATGCGCATTAAAGTTGCCGCCTGGGGAGGTTAAGGGGAATTGTTACTTTTCTGCTACAACACAGTACAAATGCAGAGCATCAATTGGAGGAGAAACAAAAACAACTTAATCTGTCGTGTCATAAACAGTGGACAGTCGTGGCCTACGGTGGCAGTTGTGGCCTAGTGAACATGGTGATTGACTGGAGATCAAAAGCTCACCGTTTCGATCCCCAGCTCCACTAGGAGTCAAAGGTGGGATGAGTGTTGAAACTCTCTCCCTCCTGTGACGACCATTACTGTGGTGGCCTTGTGCAAGTCACCAGTTCCCCACAGCTCCCCGGGCGCCGCAGCCATGGCTGCCCACTGCTCTCGGTGTGTGTTCACAGTGTGTTTAATCACTGCTTTATGTGCGCACTTTGATGGGTTAAATGCAGAGCACAAGTTCCTTGTATGGGTCACTCCATACATGGTCCGAACGTCCTTTTCACTTTCATAAACTAATATCTGACGATGAATTCCTGGAGCAACAACCCAACTGTCTGCTAAGCATTACAGTGCTGAAATATAGTGTTATAGTATAATTATAATGTCTGAAACAGAGAAACTATTTATTTTAAATGTAAAGGAAGGAAGCTTTTTTTTGTCATTTTGGAATCAAATCAGGGATCTCACAATCAGGAACCAATCCGATTGCGAAGTTCCCCGTACTACAAGAAGATCTCTATTACCCATCCCTAATATGAATGTGAGGATGCAAAAATGTAACTCATATTATTTATTCATATACTCAGCACATAGCTTGACATGTTTGATGTTGGATTTACATTGTAATTAATTTGATACTCTATAATGTGCACTCCCTTTAAATATCGGGTTTTATACAATTTCAGCACTGGGTCTGTGTTAGCGCTGGTCTTGGCTGTGGTGCAACAGGAGTTCCAGACAGAGGGACATCAAAGCGCTTCTTAGAGAATGTCGCCTTCAAAGAGACACCAGGCTTTGCTTCCTCTTCCCCCCTTCTGCTTCCTATCACAAATCTCTTTCACACCAATTAGTTTCTAATCATGTTGCTCTTTATCTCTCCTTTCTTTACCGTACTCTGCCTCAGAGCTCTGTTGTCTTTCTGACGCACATGGACTGGAAGTGTCTATATGTTTGTGTATGCGGCTCTTTAACTCAGGAGGATGCAGTGAGCACAGCATGAGCAATGTCATGGAAAGAGAGCAAACACCTGCTTTTTATTCATAAATATTAACAATTCTCTCTTTATAACTCCAACGTAGTTTGCATGGCCTCTGTCTCCAGTCTGAAGTTAGATAGCGCAAATAGGCTCTTTTGTGTTTCCAGGTTACAGTTGCCATTCTCCTGTTCGTCTCCACGGAGACTGTCAATTAAAGCTCTGTGGTAATCTGAACCACCTTGGTGACAGAGGCGACACTCTGTACGTGTTAGGGTTAGAATATCGGCTGCTCTTTGGTGGGTGGTAAGATGTGAGACAGAGACAAAATATGTAATAAATTGGTTTTGGTGCTGTTAGAAAGAGAGGAAGCTGTGCGCTAGTTTCCCCTGAATGATTTAAAGCCACACATGCAGAGAGAGGGAATGATCCAAGACCAGAGGAGTAGAAGAAACTACATGAACATGGTTTTTGAGAGAGGGGAGGATTCGGAAGCAACAGCCCAGACGTCTAACAGAATTAGGCCGAACATCCATATACATGGAGTCACCTGTGCTTTTCCTAATTCCTGAAAGTGCTGCGAGTACTGGCCATGCTGTCCCACTTTTCCGCATTCCTCAAGGAGGATGGCGCAGGGGGGCTTCCAGCTCCCTTGAGCTCACAAGCAAGATGATGAAACTGACACTGAACCTTGCAGTCTTTGAATGGGGATGTGTAAGATTCAGAAATAAACTGATCCTGTGAGAGATTTGAAAAGAAGTCCAATTTGGTAAAAGAAAAAAGACTGAGGTTTGAAGTGTCCCTATTATGAATTTTTGAAAAGTATGTGTCATACGGTGTATGATGTGGCTCATACCACTAGAGTTTTAATGTGGAGGTACTCTGTATCTATTTGATGAAACAGATTGTCGTTTAAACCAAACCTTTTGCTGTTTTATGAGGGTTAAAGTCTTGTTGACTTCTCATCATCATTGATATCACTGTACATTTATGATAAACTGGTGTCATGGATTGTTGGTGGGCAGTGTATTTTTGCACACTGTAATCCAGTCACATAAAAAAACAGAATTGCTGCAGTTCTAATCACACAGACAGTAGTAAAGCTCGAAAAAGGTATGATTTCAAAGAGGTACATTCCCAGCATTATGGTTAACCTGAAGGCTTTGAACAAAAACAAACAAGCTGTTCGGAATTGAAAATGATTATTTACAGACAAAAGGAAAACAATGTGGACACTGGCAGACCACAAATGGAGGTATCAAACTTGGGACCACTGTTGGGCAATAATGCATTACTTTTAGAGAGATTACTTTTTTTAGAGACGCAGTAATTAAACCTGTTTTGTGAAAGTGACATCACGACCAAGTATGGAGTGACCCATACAAGGAATTTGTGCTCTGCATTTCACCAATCAAAGTGCACACACACAGCACTGAACAAAGAGAGAGAGAGATAGTTTTTGTTGCACTAGTACATATGGAATACTGTGCTGCAGTACTTGCTAAGTTTTCTTAATATGTTTTATTTTATTGTCACAAGATGGAATTCTTGTTATGACACCATTTCCAGAATTACTGAAATTAACTTGAATAAAAGAGATAACAATATGTTGGCTTTGCAAGCAAGCCAACATAATAAGTGAAAATGTTTGTGCAACAAGCTATTATTATTACTAATATTTAATTTATATAAAAATAAATAAACATAAATAATAATCTAATCAACTGGGGAGAAGATTTGTTTAAGGACAACCTTAAAAAGGGATGAGTACTGAAATCTTTTTGAGACAAAATAAGACTTTTTGGTATTAGAGATTTTGCTCATGTTTGAAGAAAGAAGGGAGCAGCGAGAACATTGTTCAGACAGTGAAACATAGTGTGGGAGCATAATGGTGTGGGGATGTTTCAGTGCGTGTAGTACTGACAATCTAGTCATGATCAAAGAAAACATGAAAATGGAATAGGGAAGATTTTAAAACACTCGGGTCGACATTTTGTCTTCCAGCATGATAATGGCACACGTATTCCTCACTTCTGGTGGAAAAAGTACTGGTAAATGATCAAAACGAGTGTACTCCAGTCCTGCAAAAAGCCCAGATTTGTATTTGATTTGACAATTATGTTTGTCAGTTCATATGTCATAAATAATTCTGCTATTTTTGATTTATATGCTCTTGAATTCACATTTTTTAAGGGCAATTAGTCTGTTTCATCTTTCCAGACATCAAAAAAAAAAAATAAAACCTTAATACTGTTAGTGAGACGCTTTTTGTCAAGTGTAAATAAATAAAGCGAGTTTCTTTTATCTCACTGTATTCTAATCTGTGTGTTTTCTGACTAAAACATGATATGCTTCAGTAATCGGGGAAATATGTTTGTGCGATACACTGATTGATGTGGTTCATTGAATCTTCTTGGCCTAAGATTGGTTCCAGCTGAATTTATGCATGAGATTCATAATCTACATTTTATCTATTACCGATGTTTCCCCCTTTCTTTGAAATATCTGACCTTTACGTTCCAGTAAAGGTTTAATAATCTGAATATGCACCTGACAAATCAGATTAGCAGGTGGCATTTTGTCAAAGCCAAAGGCAACAGACAGTTGAGCAAATGTGCTCTTTGTATCTGTTCAGGAAAATATCCTCAAAATGATGAGAACAAGAAAAGAGGGTTGATGAAAGATAAGGGGTGGGGGAGGGGTATTTCTAAATCGTTTCTCATACCTCAATCACCTTCTTTACGTAAATACAATGGATTGGTTTTAAATTACATTGGTTTTATAATTTCTGCTCATTTTGAGCAGACATCTTCCCAGGAATATTAGGAAGAATATTACCAGTTAAATCTTTTTTTGGACCCTATTAGCAAAGATCTTATAAATCTAAACTGTTCTGAAGTGTCGGCTATGCTTTAAAAGACCTTCTCTGCCAATAATAGAATGCACTCATAAACACAAGCTTTGACTTCAGTTATTCAGAGTGGATTCAGAGCGGTCTTTCACTTTTATTTGTGGACTTGTTTGACCTCCTCTTGAATAGCCTTGAAGATAACCTCATGGAGCAGTAGTTTCAGGGGTTGCTAGAGAACCAAATGAAAAAAAGTACTCCACCCCTCTCGCTCTCTCATTATGATGTAAGCATGACGAGAAAGCAACCCTCGGCAGGCAAACCAACTGCATTTTCCTTTCCTGGGTAAATCACACCAAATCCTTCCCTCTCACACATTCTGACTCATCTTCAATCGCCTCTTTATTAAAGCCACCCTCTATCCATCTCTGTTCCATCAGAGACCCAGCATGATACCTTCTATCACTTATCACTTTTTTTGGGATAGCTCACATGCTCTTGACTGTGCTCACTCCCCTTACTGTCTGAGCATCCATTCATATGTCCATCCCTTTGATGAGATGCAATAAACTTTCTTCCACAAGAAATGAGCATGTCTTGTGGAAACTTGTGAATGTGCCACTATAGTGACTTTCATTGCTTAAGTTGTATATATGCGATACTTAGAGACTATCCTTGAAAAACTAGTCTTGTTGAAACAAGCACGTTGGAACTGAAGGTCCAGCAGACAAGAGTACACCGTCCCACACAGGAGTCAAACACAAAACAAGATAGTGTTCAAAAAGAACCATTTCGCAGCACTTCTTGAGTTTGTCAAAAACAGGATGAATGATACGGTTGCTCTTGGGGGATGTGTATTTGTGAAAGTATTGTATAGTTGGATACGAACACTGTGCCATTTTTAGCACCAAATTGACGAGGGTGCAACAGATCTTGCCTCAGGTTTAACCTCAGTGACTTGATGAAACTGATTGAATTGTGGATGGAACAAAATATGGGGAAGCATGTGTCTAAAATGTGAACCTGTGTTAAAGTGTATTATTAAAAAGTTTACAATTAAATGTCTAGTATTCAGCTTAAGCGGCACAGAATGGTTTAAAAAATGTTAGGTATTGATGTTGTCTGATGTTTTATTAATTATTAGCAATATACATGTATGACATGATTCCAATAATACAAAAATACATGTACAATTGAAGTGATTGTTTGCAAGA